CTAATCGTTTAGGAAGGAGTTACGTTAGCCAATCAAGTGCCTGCGCAAGAGAGAAAGGTGGTACCCAAAGTATTTATTTCTTCCTCTGTCACTTGTCTACACTGTCGTCGTAAGCGCGCTTCTTCCATGTGCTCTAATGCTCTAAGATTAACTATTCAATGTCTAGTTTCAAATCATGATCACGAAGTGACAGATAAAAGAAAATTTTAATAGTGCGAACGAAGAGATGGCTATAAATAAACAATGTTAATTATGCATCTGTAAATACCATAACACAAACACATATTTACTAGACAAACATTTCTATAAAATAAAAAACAAACATTTCTTTATAATTAAAAATAAACGTAAGGGCTTTCTTTTTTGCTAAAATAGGTATAACTTTTCGAATTATTTTTGTAAAAATTTCCGGAAATTGAAAATTCGGTAAGTTTTGAACACAAAACATTAACATTAAATCAATAGGTCAAGTAAGAAATCTGTAGATTTATTGAAAAATCAGTAGATCTGATAGCTCTAGAGCCGAAGTAGGCAACCATCTACGCAGATATGTCAACAAGTTTCGTATAGTAGGATCGTATACGATGCAAAGTAGAGCAAAAAGTTGCCGGTCTTTTATCAAAGGAAAATCGTGTCATCATTTTTAGGAGGCGTAATATGAACAATGTCAAATTTAAAATGAAATTCAATGTTAAATATGAAATACCGCTGCATACGCACTGTGTTCTGGTAGTAGCTGTAGTCGCCCAGTGCATCGAGTGTACGAAGTGGTCGGTTATACGTCAAATACTAACCTGCCGAGCTTGATCGTAAAGCAGAGACCGTCTCCAAAAAACAAGTAAACAACAGTGGCGCGTACAGGGGTAAAATGTAGTACATACATATGTGGAAATTAAAAAACAAATTGGATTTATAATAAATTGCATTTAAAATAAATAGTTTTTGAGAATAAAGGAATTTTTGTAGGAACAAATATAATGTATAAAGAAATTATTCAATTTCTAAAACCCTTAAAAGCGTATGACACTGGATCCCTTGACAGGCAATGATTCATTACTTTGCATCGAATATGATCATACTATAGTTATTACGTGCTGGCTATTTCTCATATAGAAAACTGGGCAATTTTGATTGTTTTATGCGTGGGTAAGTTCTGGTTGATACAATTTCCGAAACTTTTGAACGCGTTTTCGCTGTCTTGCAATTGTGTCGGCCGGTGTATCCCGGCCGTAACAGGTCGCAACGGCCCAGCGGCCGGTGGGTGCGAAATCACATCCCGGCAGGCATTTCGCAAAAGGTCGTTGGTCCGAGAGCGGCATCGCCACCGCGTGTTCATCCGCGGTCTAAATTTAAACCGGCGATCATTTTATTTCGGGGCGATGTGCGCCACAAGACTTTTATCCTTGAAAAATCCGACGGACATCTGTTGTCCGATTTCGATTTTGGACGCGCTCGATTATTCCGATACGTGGAACCGTGAAGGTTCTGCGACGCGTTCTTTTGTTTTAGAGCTCGCGGCCGTCGCCGATGGCCATTTGTTTTCGTTCGTGTCAAGACTGGCCGTGACACGCGGCGACCCGCTAATTTTTTGTCCGCTTGGTTCTTTCTGTGGCGGTAAATCCGACTGGCATCGAATCGGCCATTGTTTTCCTCCTAATCGCGATATGCGATGTGAAGATCAAAACAATTTTTTATGCGGCTATTCTAGTATTCCATATATACTAGGTACTCGTTTATTACGCTTACAAGATCTTGCGATGTAATGCCTTGCATTATTAAGGATGAAGTCAGCTCTATATCTGAAATAGCACACATTCATCCTATGAACATCCCATAGCTCCATAGCTCGTTGTTCCGAATACAGAATGAACTTCGAACCTCCAGATGAACTTCAATGGATATTTTATGGAGATATATAGACGTTATAACTTCTTACTGAAAAAGCAGTGGTTTATTTGGACCTTTGGACTTTTAAGTCCATTAAATTAAAACTGGTTCAAGGATCAAATGTGCTGAATTTTATGACATAAGCTTAAAAATGATAAAATACTCAATATTTGGAACTTTTTATAATTGACATAAAAATATATTGATTTAGATTAATTACACCTGCATACAAAAAAAAATGGCTTTATGTGCTGCTGAATCCAAATCTGAAGTCCGTTTAGCTCAAACACTCCCAAAATTTTGAGTAATTGGCAAAAATAGTGAAAAATGACGAAAATCACGTCAGTGAGCGCAAAAAATCGAAAAAATTTATTCTGAACTTGATCAAGTGGCTTTTTTGATGTGCTGAATCTAAATCTGAAGTCTTTTAAGCTGTATCCCCCCCAGATTTTGCAAAAATCGCAAAATAATAATGAAAAATCACCTAAAATAGCGAAAAATCGCCAAATATCACTTTTTTCTTGACCTTGGTGTTCCTTATGTATTTTGATAGACTGAATTCGACTCTAAAGTCTATTAGCTAAATCCCCCCACACATTTTTTTGCCAAAACACGTAAAAAAATAGCTGAAAATGGCAAATGGCAAAAAGTCATATCAATGAGAGTGAGAAAATTTAGAAGGAGTTATTGGATTCTCATAAATTTTGTCGAGTCAAATTTGAATCTAAAGTCTATTGACTCTCATTACCCAAAAATTTTGCAAAAAAATCGTGAATTCCAAAAAATCCTGAATTACTTCCAAATAAATTTGACTGACTTGAACTTCCTTTGATGTTGAGATGTTGCTCTTACACCGTTCTTCTCTTGTAGCGAACTCTTTTCTCTTCGAATGACCTATGCAGCGGGTTTCTTTTTCTCTTCTGTGTATTCTGATTCGTTTATTTGTTTAGTGTCCAACAGAAATCTGCCTTTATGTTGATATTCCACCTTCCTTGGTAGCGATTCTCCATTTTACTTATATCTTGATGGAATCTTTCTCCTTGTTCTTCACTGTAGTTTCCAAGGTTTTGAGGAAAGTAGTCAAGGAGAGAGTGTAGGAAGTGCAATTTAAGATTCATCAAGCAACCTAACTGTTTGAAACTTTTCAACATCTCTCCAACAAAATTTTGGTAATCCACACTTCTCATTTCCTGAAAAATTTCGAGAAATTCTCTTACTCTTAGCCATGCTGCTTTTTCAATGCCATTCAACCTTGTAATGAAATTGAAAAAGAGTACGAATTTGAGAACCATCAAAAATACCTATTTTTCAATTTCGCATCACTTATCAAATTAAGGTTATGTGACTCTTTCATTCTGAGTAATGTAACCTACTGTGATACTGCTTATTGGCCAACCATTCTAAACAAGAATAAGGAAAGCTTACAAAAAATACAAAATGCATGTATTACAGAATAAACAAAAGAGAAAGAGAAACTCGGTGCATAGGTCATTCGAAGAGAAAAGAGTTCGCTACAAGTGAAAAACAGTGGAAGAGCAACATCGCAACATCAAAGGAAGCCTGGTTCAAGTCGGTCAAATTTATTTGGAAGTAATTCATATTCATGACATTTATTAAAGATTTTTTGGGATTCACGATTTTTTTGCAAAATTTTTGGGTAATGAGACCCAACAGACTTTAGATTCAAATTTGACTCAACAAAATTTATGAGAATCCTATCTAAAAAAACCTCTTTCTAAATTTTCTCACTTTCATTGATATGGTTTTTTTGCCATTTGGCATTTTCAGCTATTTTTTTACGTTTTTTGGCAAAATCTGTGGAGGGGGTTTAGCTAATAGACTTTAGACTAGAATTCAGTCTATCAAAATACATAAGAAACATCAAGGTCAAGAAAAAGTGATATTTTGCGATTTTCGCAAAATCTGGGGTGATTCACCATAAAATACTTCAGATTTGGACTCGGCACATCAAAATACAAAAGAAACCCACTTGATCAAGTTCAGAACAAATTTTTTCGATTTTTTTTGCGCTCACTGACGTGATTTTCGGCGATTTTTCACTATTTTTTGTTAATTACTTAAAATTTTGAAACAAAATAATGTCAAATATGTGACCATTACATCAGAATAATTTGTTGCTGAGTAATATACGTAGTACAGTTTTAACTGAACTTCGTGAAGATACTGTGAGAGTGAGAACAACCCACATAGTGCAGATCTACACTCAGTAATAAGATTCAAATTAAAAATACCCACCGTCCTTCTCAAATAGCGTTGATGACGTCAATTATCAAACTCGGCGTTTTAAATTTTTGTCGCGTACAAAAAAGTAAAGCACATTTTCTATAAATTCTATCAGAACTTCCATTTGAAATATTGAATATGTATAGGTAGGTATACCTAGTTTTGTCACGAAACGTAAGCAGTTCTCATAACTCATAATTTTATGTCAAATTAGAAAAAAGTAAAATAAAATATTCATGCTCTGAATTTGAAAATGCGCCCGGAAAAAAATTTATTTTTCTTTCAGCAAAATAAAACTGATCTGCCTAAAAAGTCAGCGCGGAAAAGTGTTTTTCGCGAAAATCTTACTTTGCAAAAATTATGTAACAGTAAATTAGGTACAGCAAGTTCGAAAATATCATCTATTTGCTAACATCTCATTTATTCTCCGAGATGCTGACGGAAATTATTATCCGAAGTGACTGATGAGCTTCGCAACTGGTCCAAATCCTAAACGAAATTCGATAGAGTTGACCGGGGAGAATTGTAGGTATTGTAGTTTTTAAACACCATAAAAAAAATTCCGTTTTTTTGCCTATTCCGAATATTCAATGGGGCACGAGAACCTCACAAATGACTGTATCTCATTTACTAAACACACCTATAATTTCTGCTCACCCCGAAAAAATTTGGTTATTTATAAGATAAGAAAAGAAAAAGTGTACGTATCTCTTTTTTTTTGTCGTTGTCGTTTATGATACATACAGTTCTAGACATTTTTAAAGCAACTGTGAATACAGTATCGAGAAATTTTGGTTGCATAACGATATATTTGGTTTGCTTCTTATTTTTATTTTGAATTTTGACAGATTGTTGAAAATATTTATGTTTTTATTTCAGTACATATTCTATTACAAAAATTGAAGTTTAATGATGTGGTCTCAGTACGATGAAAATTTAGGCGAAAATCTCTTCTTCAAGGAGATTCAAAATAATCATGTGGACATAATAGAAAGGGCAACTACCGAGAACTGGATAATATGTGTACCCCGAAGTGGTACCTTTGAAACTTGTGATGTATCCATGGAAACAATCCTGGATCACGTATTGTTGCATGGAAATGAAAGCAATTTCTGTACACTAAGCAAGAAACAAGTCACCGTAAAGAACAAACATATTTACATCGATTCTAGTCAGCTGTTTGCAAACAATGTGGAGATACTTTTCGAAGAAACATTTTACTTAGGAAAGACAGCTAAATACACAGTGTGGTGCATCGACAGACCTCTTTTTTTGAAGATCAATTGTGACTCGCACACTTCTACAGTTTTAGAAACCTTACATGATTGTATCGATTTTTTATGGGTGGAAAGCTTGGGACACGATATTTTGGATAATATAAGACGATTATCAGATAATTTCATTCAGGATTATAAAGAATTTGAGACTGAGACTCTTCAAACTCAGAAAGAAGTTATTGGAAACCTATATTCGCAATGTTTACAAATGAGTTTGAAAAGTGTCGTTATGCGAGAGAAGAGTCTGAAAAGTTCACAATTTTTAGAAAATCTGAAGGTATCGGTTGAGACATACATGCAGTATTGTTTAGGGAGGAAGCTACTATTTAGCTTGAATACCTTGCAGTACCAGACGGACGCCTTTATAAACAAAGCGATAAGGAATTCCAGTGGTTTACAATTGAAAGACTTAAGCATTCCCGAGAAGTTCTACGATGTTGTGACATCAGCAAAATGTGAATTGAACAAAATAAACAAGTATGTTACTGTTTTGGATAAAATATATTGCTTGAAACAGACATTTTCAATCATATACAAAGTTAATAAACCTGAAGCGGAACAGTGGATTACCACGGATGATTTCTTACAAATCCTGGTGTTTTTAATCTTAAAGTTAAATGTAAGTAACTGGTCAGCCAATTTGATTTTCATGGAAGAGTTTCGACTAAGCCTTTTGGATAACACCGACCAAAGCAGCTATTGCCTCGCTTCACTCGAAGCTGCCATAGAATTTATTAAAAGCAATAAATTCTTAGACATTCGAAACGATGCATTTACTTCTAGCGTTTACTTGAATTCTAGTCAACTTTCCGTAGAAAGTATGTTTAAAGACATAAAATTAGGACATGCGATGAATTTTAAAAATGTTTGCAAAGATTCTTCGAAACAAAAGCTGTGCCATCCGCTGTGTTCCTGTGATCGATGTCAATCTGTAATACGAGATCATGAAATTGAAGATTTTAGCCCACTCAAATGTAACGAAAAGGGTCAAAACTTACTAATAATAGCATCCCTTTTAGGCGATTGCGATGTAATTGAGTTTTTACTGTCAGAGAATTTTGACGTGAATTTTTGCGACTACCAAGGCAGGACTAGTCTGCATTACGCTGCCGCGAGAGGCTTCCAAGATATTTTACTGCTTCTGATAAATGCGGGAGCAAACGCAAATGCCTCGGATAACGAAAAGAATACCGCGCTACATCTAGCTTGCAATAACGGGCAGGAAACTTGCGTTAAGGCCCTGATCTATTCATCGACTGATGTTGAAGTGAACGTAGGGAACTTCTTTGGTGACACGCCTCTTCATTTGGCTACAAAATGGGGTTACTTGGATATCGTTAAAATACTATTAGAAAATGGAGCGTCCGTCATAATATGTAATAAGAGGAATCAGACTGTACTGAATGTAGCGACAAATTATTACATTTTAAAGCTTTTCGAGGAATTTGGAATGGAGAAAAGCGCAACGATTTGCAAACGCATCAAACAGAACAGTCCCGTTTTGGTGAATGAAAGGCATGTTACTGATGCGTGCAGTGAACACGGGGTGAGACCGAAAAGTGTGGACCAATTCAAGAAAATAGATTTACTGCTTAGAGCGATTGAAAGTAACGATTTGCCTTTGACCTGTTTTTATTTGGGTTTCTCTTGTAATGCTTCTGCGATAATTAAAAAAGATAACTGCCATCCTTTGTGCGACTGCACGAAATGCTGTACGGATCAAGAGATAAACGACGTCCCTCGAAATCCACCACAGACCGTGCAAATTAACACGTGCAATGCAGAGGGCTACACGCCTTTACATATTGCCGCTAAGTTTGGACGGACTGATATATTACGCATACTTCTGGACGGTGGTGCTTTACCCAACGTTCAAACCTATAAAACGCTATACACCCCTCTACATTTGGCCTGTTTCTACCAACGCATTCAAGTGGTGAGGGAATTACTGAAATGTGGCAACTGCGTAATAGATTCGCAAGATGCGAAAGGCAACTCCCCACTTTTCTACGCTTGTGTGAAGAACGACATTAAGATCGTCGAGATTTTATTGATTAATGGGGCGGACTGCACTAAGAAGAACTATTCTGGTAGAAGCCCTCTTCAGGAAAGTGAAGAGAATATGCAATACAGGGTGTTCAAGCTCATGAAGAACAGTCTAGCAAATTTTTTGCAAAAGGATCATGTTCAAGGGATGATATCTGATACAGATATGTTTTAATTTTTTAAATTTTTATTCTGTTATGTTTATGTGTTTTTATTATTATTTTTATATAGTTTATTTTTAAATTAAGTATTAACAAATTAATATTCGATGTATACATATCTGCTTGAACTTATTGTTAGCATCATTGTATTTATTCTGATCTGGGTCAAAAAATAATATAAAAAACTTAATTTTGTCCAGTAAAAGTGTAACTTGTAACAAATATGTGTCAAATTTAACAAACGTCTCTTAAATTCACCACATTGTTGATAATTAAATATTTTAAAGATTGTGTCTAATTTCATTTGATCAGCATTTATCTACAAATATTTATGTTCATAAAAAGAATGCAGTGAAACCAAATTTATTTTTTTTTAAATTAAATATCAAAGATCACTCATAATTTATACAGTACTGGATAATAATATAGTCACATATATTTTACTGGGTTTGTCCATATCGAGTGTGATATTTTTTAATATGAAATGTATTTTTTCAACCAAAATAAAAATAAACAGCACTGATAAGTTGTATGTATTTTTTATCTGTATCTCTCGGACATCATGAGATTATTGATAACATGCAATATGGAAAAAATAATGTACCTCTTGCAATATCCACAGTATTTTCTAACTAAACACAAGCCTTACGATGAATATTCCATTACTACACAAATATAATAAAAAATAATTAGTAGGTATATATTTATTCTTCTCTGGTATGTAATAATTGCCTACGCAAATATCGGAGAAAAAAATACCCACCAAAGGTGTTTGCTCTTCTAAATGGTATTAATTCACCAGAAATAGTAATCAGCGAAGGTCAAGAATGAAATTGATGTGTAAACATCACAACGTAAATGAAATTCCCGAATTTTTCAAAAAGAATTCAAAATTTCGTAAGGCCAAAAAATGTACAGTGATGTGTGCAGAATTTTGCGATAGGTTTAAGGGAGAAGTTTCGAACCCTGAACTAAATACTCAACTCCTGTTTGAAACTGGAATTAAGTTTATATTATAGAATGAACTACCAGCGTTTATTAAAAAATCATAACTTAAAATTACAAGAAATTAATGTTATATATTTGTAGGCAACCAGTGATACAACATTGTGCAATTCAAATTGTCTATTGTATATATATTCTATGCAAGTTTCTTTTCAAAATTGTTCCAATAATTTTGAAGTTTTTCTCAAAATCAATTAACAAACATTGGTTGAAGAATCCAAGTAATGAATACTTATCCAAGTTATTCCGGATACGAAAAAAATTCGTTTTGGGAGTGAAGGTCGTACAAGTACCATGAATTAATTATTATTGCTAATATGCTAAATATGTTAAATTTTCTGTATGACCCAAGTAATAAGTAATTCCCCCACGTGATTAAATTTAAGTAAACAAACACCTTTTTTAATAGCTTTAGAATATAAAAAGCTTGGATACAAATTTGAAATCGGCATTGTTAGTGATAAAAGTTCAAAATGAACTTCCTTATATTGTGCTTGGTGATTTGTTTGCCGCTGATTTCAGCGCTCACCTATATTCCTGTTATCATAGAAGAGGAAGGTAAGTAAATTTCATGTTCTATTTAAATGGTAAATTTTAATTATAATTTAATACAGAATTCAGTTACCTTTTAATTCTGTGTTGAAAAAAGCAATCTTTAAAATGTAAATATCATTGAATTAAACTATTTTGGTTGAATTTCATATTGGTCTTTGTCCATCAAAGTAGAAAAAGAATACGAAATTATTGGAAAGTTGGCAATATTATTTAATAGTTACCTACTTTAGAATAATATGTTCATAGAAAATTTCTATATTTTCTATGAATATGTTCTTTCATTAGTACTGTTTGGTACGATTGTATTTTATTTTAATTGCATCAAAAATATCACTTTACATTTGGATTTTATAAATTTAGATTCGCCTAATCAGAATATTTCACACTAGAGATTTTTCGCGATTATAAACATTATAACACAACTTTTCAATGTTCTACAGCTTTATTGCTCAACCCCATTTACAGAGCAATTATTATACTACTAAAATTTATAAATACTTAATCTAAATAAATACAGATACAATACAAACTTAGTACAGTAATTACGAAGCAATTAGACAAAAAAATACAAAGATAATCGACATCATCAAAAAATACGTTCCTGATTTAGTAATTGTATAGCAACATCCAATATACGCTTTAAATGATCAAAATTAATATCACACAAGTGACATAATTTATTAGAATTACAGCACATTACGTATAAAGGTGATTTTAAAGTGAGATTAGTTCTAGGAATGTTAAGAAAAAAGTTTTTCGTATGTCTTGAGGTATATTAAACTGAATTTAAGACAGAAAAATGGAGCAATCAATATTGTTATGTAACATTTTGTATGAAAAAGACAGTGAAGAACATTTTCTTTTTAGGTCCAAACTGGTAATATTTAACGTTATCAGTAATGTATTGTATTGTGTATCTAATTCTGTATAATTTCCAACTTCTTTAAAGTACAAAAATTTTAAAGACTGAATTCTTTCAACACTAATTTTGTAACGCTGGTAATATGAATTCCAAATGATGCAACCATATTCTAACATACAATTAGACATAACAAACCACTAATATAATTTTTTAAAATTTTAGTGTTGATAAAGTTTCTACAGTTTCTTAATATGAAACCATACGATTTTGCCGCCTCATTTATTTTAGTGAATATGATTATTCCCGAAAAAGTAAACTAAGTATAATTAAAAAGTACACCAAGGTCCTTAACAGTTTCATAGCGAGGAAATGTAGTGAGTAATATCATATTAAAAAATAATGTTTTGTTTGTTTTCTTTCTCAAAATTCCAATCAAAAAAACTCCACAAGTAAATAATTAATTAATTAATGGAATATAATGGATTTGTTTTTTTATTAATTGAAATATTGGACATAAATAGACCGTATATTCTTTCCATAAATAGTTGGGATAATTACCTTTACTTGGTCAAAATGAAAACACTTAAACAAAATGTAAACACTAAATTCTGAGGTTTTTTTTGGTGTACTAGGTAATAAAAACTGTAATTTTAGAATTATTGATACTTGATTAAAATGTTTGTCCTTTGTTACGTTTTTATAGATTTGGAAAATGGTCAACTCTTAATTAGACCCGCCAGATCACCGCAACGTGGAGGCGGTTTTGGCGGAGGCGGCGGATTCGGTGGAGGCGGTGGACTTGGAGGTGGCGGCGGATTCGGAGGTGGCGGTGGATTTGGTGGTGGCGGTGGAAAAGGCGGTGGTCTAGGTGGAGGTTTCGGTGGAGGCGGTGGTAGAGGGGGCGGCTTAGGCGGCGGATTTGGAGGAGGCGGCGGTCGTGGAGGCGGACAGGGAGGTGGATTTGGAGGCGGTTTTGGCGGTGGACGAGGGTAAGATATAACTTTTTAATAATACCATTCCAGTATAACAAAGGGCAATCAGTTATTATTTTCTAAGGAGAATGTGATTGACATACAAAAAATCGTGTTTTCTAAGTCAAGCTATAACTTCAGGATATTGTTCCTTGGGTCATTTAAGATTTATTGGATAATGAATCTGAAGCCACTGAATTTAAAGATGCAGGATGTTAAAGTTTAAAAAATATTATGTTTATCGAAATATCACTGAAGATGCTTGATTTACATTGATGAGACTTGGGATAATGATATAATAAATGCATGTTAAATTAAAAATAATGATAATAATAACTATAAAATGATTGTTTGACAAATATAGTGGAATATGTTTGTACGTATTCACTAAATTTTTGCCTTTAATATTCTTTACCCAAGTTCCATCTACAAATCAATGTCTTATTTTCACAAATGAGGTATTAGGATAAATACCTATATACAGGGTGTCCGCAAATTTCACCGACAACGTTTGACTGCATATTCACGACGATAAATAAATACGATCTACGAAAAAAAGTTAAATAAAAACATCTTGGTTTTTAAGTTACAGACCTTCAAAGTTGTCAAAAATAAAACTAATTTAATTAATAACTTCATAACCATTTTACCAAACGCCTTAAAATTTGGCACATTTATTTGGACTATTATGGCGTATTATTTCTTAAAACTTTCGTCAAATTGATATACTGGGTGATAGTTTTCTCCGGTTATCTCTCCCTTTTAGCGGTCTAAACTTTTACAGTGGTCGTACTATTTCAAAACGGGCAGCAGCATTGAAAAGGTCGTTTTATTTAAAAAATATATTATCTCTTGAGAAAATCGCCTACAAAAAGCCATTCTTGAGAAATATGGCATTATTTACAGGTCTGTATATTTAGGTTTGCGTAGCAATGTCACGGATTTAAAACTTCGAGTTCAATAGGCGATGAAAACAAGATGTTGATTGTTGTGGCTATCAGGTTGTCATTATTGCCGTGTTTCTTTATCACTCCACAGTGCAAATTTTTATTGAACTTTTTTTTCGTAGATCGTATTTATTTATCACCATGAATCAAACGTTGTCGGTGAAACTTGCGGACATCCTGTATATTTTTAAACTTAAACCTGTACCTCGACTATCAGTAGTAGTGTTTAGGCTGATTAGTCTCAAAAGATCAAAAATATTATTATGACATAGACCTACAGAACATTCTTTAAGGTTATGTAAAGCATTTGGGGAACAGTTGTGTTCTCATTAGACATAAGATTTTTGTTTGGATATTTTCAAAACTAAAAGTAATTTTATCTTAAAAATTATTAGAAAACAAAAAAATATCTTCCTCATTTTAATTTTCTCCATTTTCTTTTGTAGGAACTTTGGTTGATTGAATATAGGAACCGAAATAATGCATGTCGTGACAAATTTGAAAATACTTAGTTTTTGGATTTTGTACAAAAATTTACAAATAAAACATTAAACATTAAAACATTTTTTATTCCACAACAGACAAAGCGTTAGAGATTTCGGCAAATATTTTTTGTAATGCCTCCCAACACCTTTTAAGCTTCAAAGTTCGTATTTAGTGTATAGTACACGGTTTGGAAATGCTGTCAACTAAATTCAGTGTAATAAAAATTAAAAAACAAGACACTTATCATTTAATTTCTGCTTTAATTTTATGAATGGCCCCCTTTTTTATAGAAATCCTGACAGCCCATCTTCGTCAGCCACAGCCAACTCCGAGGCAACTGCTACAGGAAACAACGCTAATGCCTCTGCTAATTCAAAAGCTTTTGCCACAGGTGGAGGTTCAGCTTCAGCTTCGGCTACCGCTGTTGCTAATGCCGCAGCCTGAATACCAGTACTGTTGAAAGTTGTGCTCAGTCCCAGGATGTTGACTGACAATAAATAAATTGTTATTTTTACTTATTAACTCTCATTATGGTATTGTGTATGATCTTATGGCAAGTGTAAGTAAATAAAAAAAGTGTGACGTGAGGTCACAGCCTCTAATAAAATTGTGTCTGTCTGTGGATATGAGCCACTTTCTCTGATCACTAGTATTTTTGTAAACATTTTGTACATTTCTATAAATAAACCATTAAAAATCATTGATAGAACTTTGAAACTCTCCTAGGAAGTTTTATTATTTGTTTTCTTGCTCCTTCAAAAAGTGAAGGAAATGATGACAAAAGTCTGTACAATAATTTGATAAATTTATTGAAATATTTTCATATATTTGTAACCTGGTAGCCATGTTCTTAGGAGGCCCATTTTGCTAAACAGGGGTACTCCCCTTTTTCAATAGTTTTCTTCATAAACATCTTCAAATGTGCTAATTGTTATTGTCGGTGTCATTCCCATCCTACTAAACAAACAAAAATCTGCAAGAATACAAGAATCGGTATATAAACAAATATTGAACGGAAAAACAACTCATAATAGTTGAAGCACTATGAAGTTCTACACCCACAAGTTGGTTTGGATCCTAGTGATCATGTTTTTGGTAGTAGCCGTGCACCAAAGTGAAAGTGAAGTTAATATTTCAGGTAAGTTGGTATGAATCGAGAGGAAAAACAGTGTTTCCCTGATAGCCCAGGAAATATAGAGTTGGACGCGACTTTTTGTTTCGGCAAGCTGAATTTATCACTATAGATGCTAAATATTATGTACAATAACATATTAGTTTCCACAGTCATAAAAATGGGGGGAAGATTGTTTACAGGGTGGTTAATTGTATAATTTTTACGTGGAAATGAACTGAAAAAAGTTATAAGCGAAAAACGTGAATTTACGTAAAAATTATACAATTAACCACCCTGTAAACAATCTTCCCCCCATTTTTATGACTGTGGAAGCTAATATGTTATAGTACGTAATATTTAGCATCTATAGTGATAAATTCAGCTTGCCGAAACAAAAGTCGCGAAATGGTCATTTCCCAGCTCTTTTTCCTGGCCTATAATTTCTAGCTCTTAATTCCTTTCTTACAACAGCTATTACTTATTTTTAGTTAACATTAATCAGTTATTTTCTGAAAAATGATTTGCACTGTTATATGACAATTTCAAACTCGTTTAAAAGCTAAATTTAGATAAATATTTTTCGTTTTTCGAAAATTCGACGTCACATTTGAAAATAAACGAACAACGAACTTTTGCCGCAAACTATACTTACATTTTTTACATCCACGTACGTACGCGCACTGTGAGCAATAATTTTATATAGCTACTCATGAATATTAATTGCGCTAAGTGGAAAATCAAATATTATTGTCGGTGTTTTGCGCTTGTTTAAAATGTTCCTAGTTTTAAATGAAATAAATAAATATTGGCCATAATAATGCATGTAATGATTTGTCATTGATTTCATTGTCATCACCACACATTTAATACATACAGTGTGTCTCAAAAATGATGTTTTTAAATTAATATTTTTGCATGAGGTAAACAAATATTGACTAGTGATTAATTAAAATAATAGCTCTTTCAATTTCTTTAACTGTTACATATAGGTATACAGTATGTTCATAATATACGAACGTAAGTTTGAAATTTACTGGAAATGTGTTCTTGTTGTTGTGTAGACAAAATGCAACTTTACAATATTTATCTAGTTTTACAGTACTGTAACTGTATACCAACTTTTTAGAGCTGAAGTTTCTATTGAGCAGAAAAATCCGGTCTCCAGGACGAGGTGGAGGTGGTGGTGGTGGGGGAAGAGGTGGCTTTGGTGGAGGAGGAAGGGGTGGGTTTGGAGGTGGTAGAGGCGGATTTGGAGGCGGTAGAGGTGGATTTGGAGGTGGTAGAGGTGGATTTGGAGGTGGTAGAGGCTTAGGTGGCAGGGGATTTGGAGGTAGAGGATTCGGTAGAGGATTTGGAGGCATTGGTATAGGGTAAGAATAATTTCATTGCTTAAATCTTATTTTGATAATTTTTGATTGGTTTTTAGGGGTGGGGGATTTATTATACCCCCTTATTTTTTTCGAAGAAGACGTATAGGATAGGCATCTAAATTTATTTGGTATGCGTTAAATACAGGGTGTTAATTAAGTATGGACAATAAATTCAACAGACGATTATTTGAGTAATTTTAAAAGAAAAAGTCCATATAAACATTGGTCCGCAGATGCTTCGTTTTCAAGATACAGTTAAGCTTTTGTAAAAAATTGCTATTTCGTAAATATCTTTACCCAATTTTGTTGGAATTTGGCAGTGTTACTTGTACTTTATATCATTTAGATGTTACGTGTTATTAATAAAAAATTATGAAATAATTATAATTTCCAAAATAAATTTTTCCCCATGTGGTCCAGGCATATGCAATTAAGTGGATTTTATTTTTTTTTCTACATAAATTAATCAAGATACGCAAAACATTCAAGGAACAAAAAAGTTGTATTTTTAGTTGTTTAATTAAAAAAATATATAAAAATTACAAAAATGTCAGTGGCGTACATTTTTTTGTAAAAAATATTCGTTAAGGTACCGCTCGTGACGCCACTGGACTTAATAAATCTAATCATGTTAGGATTAAATTAGCCCCTTGACACTACAAATAATACTGCCAAATTACAATAAAATTGGGTAAATCGTATTTAAGATATTTATGAAATAGCAATTTTTTCACAAAAATTTTACACCCTGTATCTTCAAAACGAAGCATCTGCGGACCAATGTTCATATGAACTTTTTGTCTTCAAATCACAAATCACTCAAGTAACTGTCTGTTGAATTTATTGTACAAACTTAATTAACACCCTGTATAGCTATATTTTGGCTTTTTTTAGGTTTTTTTGGATCTCCCAAAGGATGATGAAGAAGATATTTAATGTGTATTCTAATTAATACATTTAATAATTAATTTTAACTTTTATAAGTCACAATAAAAAGTATTTATTTAAATTTGTAACATTTATTNAAGCATCTGCGGACCAATGTTTATATGAACTTTTTGTCTTAAAATCACTCAAATAATCGTCTGTTGAATTTATTGTACATACTTAATTAACACCCTACATAGCTATATTTTGGCTTTTTTTAGGTTTTTTTTGATCTGTCAAAGGATGATGAAGAAGATATTTAACGTGTATTCTAATTAATACATTTAATAATTAATTTTAACTTTTATAAGTCACAATAAAAAGTATTTATTTAAATTTGTAACATTTATTTCATATGAATTAAAAACAGGGCTAAGTTATGACCCTCGGGGAACACTAAATTTGACGTATAGGTTTACGATGGGTAAAGTGAAATAATACTCTGCTTGTAACAATACTTATTAAAAATTTAATTTATACAGTTTAAAATATATAATACAAGGTGCTATTTATAATATCTATCTACAATATATAGGCACATAATATCGCAAATATACAAAGTGTAACATTACATTAATAAAAATATAACAATATTAATGTACACAATGAGTTTATTAATAACTTCAATCCATTAAGGTAAAGGGGATTTCTATTAAAATAAGGTAAGGATATCTATCATACAAGCTTATGGAAATCAGAGCAACTGATATTGTACAAAATATATATTTTATAGTCAAAGATAACAATAAATGTCACAGATATAAAACTATCATATCTACAATTGGTATGAGTGACAAATTTTTTGTCGCATTAAAAAGATATGTCTTATTTTGTCAACCAAAAATGAAGAGATACATTCATTTTCAGCTATAGAACCTCAGTAGCTTAAGAACAGATTTAAGATTGCAAAGATCAATCTAGAAATACTCCAAAAATTAAACAAGCAGCTAACAGGCTAAATGAAGCTGTTCGATATTTCATTAATCATCTTCGTTAGTTAAAACTGATCTTATTAAATTTTGTAGCATTATATCAGAACTGATCATCACCTCAACGCATTCTTTTAAAATAAATTATCTTCCACGAAGTCTTTATATCCGTTAAGCTTTAAAGTGTCAAGAAAACTGTCAATAAATTATTTCTCAACAGTCTGCTGCTAAAAATTGATCATAAGCCAAATTGACTGAATACTTCAACCACGGCACTCTCGTGTGCCGAAATTATCACTCCGCAACTGGACTATAAATGAGCCAGTATCTCCATCTCTGACGGTATCTCCGTTATCTGCACTGTACTGTTGTTGTCAATCTGCGAACTCCCACTGACAGTCACAATAACAGGGCTTTGGTCGCTGGTCTGCACGATAGTGACCAGATTCCCGTCCTTGCTGCCTTCCAGATCGCTAGAACTGCCCTTCAGTAGCATCTTCACGGGATTGAGCTCGGTTTCCGGCTCCATTTTCAGCGAATCGAGGGTGATATTGTCCAGAGCGATGTCCTCTTCGGTGCTGCCGAGGATATTGACGACGTTGACCACCGAGCCGCCATGATTTGACTCCGACAGACTTAAGGATTGCTCCCTGCTGTGCAGCACGGAGTTGGACTGGATGGTTCCCTGGCGGTTCGTGCTGTTCTGGGAGCGGTAGGACGGGGGGCAGCTGTACTCCGACTGGGCTGCGTCTCTACGACTCGACAGCGGAGCTCTAGAAAAAAAAAACAGTGTTAATGTTGAAATACAACCTTAAAGGAAAATTATAATGGATAGATGTTTGAAAAAAAATATTTGCAGGTTTTTTTTTTGGGAAAATATCTAATATTCAGTATAACGGTAACAACAGTAACAATAATAATAATAGGTAATAAGCGGATATCTGTAAAACTGTTCCCAACTTAAATTTTGGATCGTATGTCGCTCGTACTGGCCAGGTACTCATTCCTGGTTATATATCTGCAAGTTGCCAAAGTCGACGTTTGATCGCCTTCTTAACGGGAACGCTTCGAAACCTAGGCGATCTTCGGTACGAGTATGGTCTGCCACGGACGGAAATAGAGGTGAATTGGAACCCAGGGCAAAGTTTAAACTTTTTCCCGCAATGTTCATACGTTATTTTCATATTACATAAAAAGGTAGTCTGTCGCAAATTAGCAATGTTCTATTCCTTAATGTTAGGAAATAATCTACCATATTTCAATGGTGTTTTCTCTAGATGAAAATAAACCGACTTAGATCAACTCAGACTCAGTACAACTTTGCTTTCTTATTTCAATTGTTTTTAATGCCATTTAAAATAACTATTTAACAATCTATAATACTATTTTATTAGGTAATTTAATCTAAATCTGTTTGTTTTTTTTTTCTTCAGGGAAAAATTGAATTTTACATTATGATTTATAGCTGTTTTACATTGACAATTTATTGATGAAAAAATTGACGAAGTTCTTCATGAATTAATTCACGAATTTATTGGTAAACAGTATGGTTTTACACTGCTATAGACTTTGTCAAGTTTTTTGACGCATGAATCAGTTCTACCAACGAATCAAAGGAGCAAATAAAGAGCGACCGAAATATTCTCCCCTTTGTGAGACCTCATACATTTACTCCAAATGTGTGCCAAAAGATAGTCTATGATGAGACTTGAATCGTCTATAAGTTTTAGCTTGAGGCTGCATTTTGTTTTCAAATTATAGTTGATTAAAGTTGTCATTTTTACATGGATTGTTATAGGGTTTTCAAAGTCGCTGATTTAAAATCAAAGGTTCGTTAATCTCTATGACTTCAGATTCTGGGAAAGGTCTTCAGAAACCTTTCCCAGAAAGGTTGACGAAATCATTGATTTAAAATCAAAGGTTCGTTAATCTCTATGACTACAGGTCATTTGGAAGTCAAAGAATTAATCTTGGAATCTTCGAAATTCTTCATTTTTCTGAAGCTTTTCAGTCATTTCATGAAGACCGAAGGGTGATGAAGCAATTCTAATAGCAAATTCGTGCTCAGCGCGAAAAAGTACTTCGGAATACATATGCCACATGTGAAGTACAAGCGATTTTTTTT